CCTCGTTCACCTAGCTTGTGGCCGGTGTCCAGGCAGAGCTCTTAAACCAAGAAGAGGCTGAAAGGGCAGTCTCTGCTTTGGGGCAGTGGCGTCTCAAATGGGGCATTCTACACATTGTGACATGGCCATAAATGACACCCGGCTCTTTCCCTCAAACTGTAACCCAAGGGCACTCGTGCTGGTGCCGCTGCCCGCGTGGCCCGAGGAGCACATTCTGCGGGGGGACTTACGCAGGCACTGGGGCACGTCCCCCGTCCACAGCCCAGGCCCTTCGCAGGACAGGATGGCGGGGTGAGAGAGCTGGTAGCCGTCCACACAGCTGTAGCTGATGCTGGCGCCCCAGCGGAAGTCTGTTCCCTCCACTCTGCCGTTGTGCACGTGAGGAGGCTGGCTGCACAGGACAGCTGTCCAGAGAGCAAATAAGAGCGAACGTTCTAGCGCTTCCACCACAACCGTGATGCCCAAGTGAGCCGGCTCGACCTGACCTGGACTACAAATGATATCTACTAGGGCTGTTATCTTTAATAAAAGAGTGATTGAGGAAGACACTAAATCAAAGTAGTAGAACTTTTCCCTAATGTTTCTTCATTAACTTATATCAAGTACATAACAGCAAAACAAAGTCACAACATATCACACTGTGAAAGAAAGCAGAATTGACCATGACGTTCTCTGTATGTACAGGGCCCTGGGAGGAAGTCTCTGCTCGCTCTGTCTTTCCATGCGGGTCGCCAAGGACAAGACACATCGAGGCCTGGTCCTGTGCCCGGAGCACAACCTTGGATTTATGTGTAATTTTTCTTTATTTAAATATAGTATATAATTTCCAAAAGACACAGATTGTTGGTCCATTTGCTGCGTAATTTAACAGGCAGCTGGACTGGTTAAAGATTCTGAAGCACACCACTTGTGTGCTCTATACCAGTCTTGGGGCCTGGCGTCTACTTTGTGTGGGGCCACCGGGCAGGAGCCCAGTTCTCAGGGACGGCGAGCCAGGTGGCGCTGGCCCCACACCCCCCGCCTCCCTGGTCATCACACTAAGATGCACGGGGCCGGGGCCACTATGGAAACGTCTTCCCTGAAGGTCCAGGAGCCTCCTGGGTTTTCACACTGGAGGAGGTGTGGCCAGCAGCAGCTGAGGCAGCAGAGGAAGAAACTTCTCACCTGTGTTTTCTCATGAGCTCCTGTGACGAGACTCAGCCACACACACCATCATAGGTGCANGGGTCTCGTGTGGGTCAGGCCACAGGTCCCGCGTGGGGATCTGGGAAGAACTACGAGGAACACGTGGCCACTCTGAATAGTGATGAAGAATGTCAGGGGAATACAAAGTGTTTCTCGGCGCTGGTACCTAAGGAAGTAAGACTTTATTTTTTTTTAAATCAATTTGCCTAAACTGCCAATGAATAACTGATCTGAGATTCAAAGATGGGAAAGGGTTGACGTGTCCCCTCCCTACGACCGAGGCCCCATCAGCCCTCCTTGTGAGGAGGTGGGTGAGCGCAGCCAGATCGCCTGGCGAACACGTGGATGTGACTGATCAGCCCGAAGTGAACGGGCAGCCTCATCATTTATCGGCCACTCCAGATGGATGACTGGAGACTAACATAGGGTTTATGGGACACGGCTGGCAGGACACTGGGGGCTCGTCAGCTAAAGTGCATAATTCACATCGTAGGACACGAGAAGCCCCCCAAACTGCAACAGCTCCCTTTGGGAAGGAATGTTTCAGCAAGAGGGCTGAAGAAAACAACATAAATCTAATCTGTTATATTCCAAGACCCCAGTGTGCCCTGATGAACGAGAGTCTTTGGGGGGGCAGTCCTCTGAAGGTCACAGATGTCTTTAAAAGACGGCATCTGTGTCTCTAAATTATTAGTAAATCTTGCTTTGGGCCACAGCCTATTCCACGTGTGAGTGTCACTTTACGTTGCCAGGCGGAGTGAGGGATCTGTCCATCCCTATTAGCTTAGATGCCCTGGAACACTAACCGCAGTGGGTGCGCTCTCCAGCCAACTTACACGTCGTGGAAAACAGTGCGAAGCGAAACCTGGGCTTTCCACATCGAGTCCGTGAGAGCAATAACCACAGACTGTTTTCCAGTACTCCTATATATTGGGCGCTACTTAGCCACAAGCTGGAAGGCGTGTCCCCGAGGCTTACAGCCTTCTTTGAGACCTAATATAAAATGTGCTCAGTTTAGCTTACTGGGGACTTGTGAGAATTGCCTGTGCCCAGTGTCAGAATGATGCCAGGAGGCAGCCAGTGCGTGTCACAGCCAATCACACGAGAATGTCTTAGGTCTCAGGAGAGATGGGGACAAGTGGCCGAAGAAAAAGACTTTTACCCTAAACGAATGGGGTCTGTGGCTTGGGCGGTGCACACATTTAACTGGCTTCCAAAGCCCTTTAGTCAGACAGCCCTGCAGCCACCAGGGTGCTGGAGGTGGTTGAAACATTTTATTTCAAGCTTCATTACCTTCTATTTTTAGTGATTCCTCCGTTATTTCCTGAAGCGCTAATGTAATGACTTTTACTTAAAACATCAAATGAATATTCAAAAGTGATATTGAGTATGCTAATAATTCATATAGTTTTAAGAGATCATACGGTGAAGAGGTACCACAAAGCGATGTGAGTCTAAGGGCCTTGAACGTGTTTTCTTCTTCTGTTTTTGTCTCTAGAATTTAGTATTATTTGCCTGTGCTATCAGGTCACTAAATGGGGTCTTTTTATGTGTAGCTATTCAGTGGCAAGTCACCCCAATTTGAGAACTGCCATGTCGGTTCATTAGACAAAAATACAAAATTATGCATGC